GATGCCCAGGGCTATGTCACTGCCCCCTCTATCCTGCAGTAATCTTCTTGCCTCCCCTCCTCTCTCCTTCTACCTCTATTTGTCTATTTGGATAAAAAGCTTCTCCCCGACTGCTTCTGCTTTACGTCCCTATGTGTTCATAGAACTCCTTACACCATACGCCCCTCATTCCAAATACTTCCAATGCACAGATTACACATTGTTGAATCCTTCGTGTATTTGTGCTTTCTTCTATTTGTAGCTTGCTTGGCCTGAAGCCATCCTTGGTGCATCAACCACCCATCCCTTTTCATTCATGTCTTTATTGTACATATTCTTACTCATCAACTTGCAAAATAATGATGACTTGTGTGATTTGTTAAAAACTCAAGCCCAGCTTTGTGCAAGAACAGTGACTCTGGTTGTATCACTGACCTCATTTAGTCACAATTGCTAAAAAGTGGAAAATCTGACCAAAACACTGTATTTCTCCTAGAAACAGCAATAATGTGGTTGCCTTACTGAAAAGGGGAAGCACAAAGGCCTGGTAGCGTACCAGGAATACGGTTACATCTTATGTACAGACACAGAAGGACTTATTTGATGACAACCTTGTCAAAATCACAGTCATTAGAGAGGTTACTAAGAAGTGCTGGCTCACTGACTTACAGGGAAGCCACTCAGTGCTGGGCCTATTTGATGAGACAACTGGACTTTTACCAAGCTAAGAGCACAATGTTTTCCTCTGCTCCCATACAGGTAATAGTACTTCATCAATGTGGTTACACCAATCCTAAGCACCTAATTTTTCTTAAGCTGTGAAAAGACAAATTATCTCCTGCAAATGGACTTTCACAGAACCTTAAACAGTAAAAAGTAAACTGATTAATTCAGTTTGACAGTTCATTGTTAGTTACAAACCAGTAGTTTTATAAGGCTTTGACCTTGGTGGAAGCTTCGCTCTTCACGAGCAGACTGACACTGACCCACCTGAATAAGCCCATTGACAAGTTAGGATACAGTATGTCCAAGGACCTTAGGCCATCTCTGATCACATAGTGGTGTCACCAGTAGCTTTATCTTTATTATCTCTTTGAACTATTTGTTATGAAGAAGAATATGAACTGCTATTCATATTAGTACACCTTCAAAGCAAACACCTAATAGCTTTCCTACAATAAAATGTTGATATATTTCACACTTTTCCCAGTTCTTGTAACTGTTAGAAAGAAAATAAACAAAGATTAATTAATTGGGTTACCCAACAACCCGGCATTTCTTTAAGGTGATTTGGCACTCATAAATGAGGACAGAGGAAACAGAAGTTAACAGCATTTTCTGTCATCACTTGGAATCTGGACACTTACTGTATACACCTTCCCTTTGATTTTTAAGGAAGGAATGAATTCCATTTGATGGTCACTTTATCATGCCTTTACTACATTTTTTTATAATACTGGGCATTTGATCTTGTCTTGATCTGTGTTTGTGTTCAAAGCAGAATCTGATTATCGAGGTTGTTGAGCTTCATAATGGCTAGTTGTTGCCAATCCAGTTAAATTATTTGATTCTCTTCCACTGTGCTGCCCTTAACCATCCAACTGCTTCTCAGGAGGTGTCTTTTTCCTCTGCTGTCTTCATCATTCTTACTTTCCTGCCTCTGTTTTCCTTCTTTCAAACCTGCGTTCCTTCTGGTCCTACTGCCTCCTCTAACATGTTCACTTTTTCAGGAGCTTGAAATTTAAGCGAGGAGAAACAAAACAAATCAAATCAAACCAAAACAGCTAACCCCAAATCCAAATGTAACGTAAACGCCCAAATATACTCTCGTCTTTCTTCTTCCTGGCTTCAGTTAGTGTTTAGGTCTAAAGCTAGGCCTGGGTCCATTAGGATGACTTGTTTGGGTAAGAAGCAAACACCATGCACAGATACAACAAAATCAGCTCTGTTTGTTTTGGCCAGGGGGATTTGCTTGCTTAGATCACAATGCAAGAGTCAGAACTGCTCTGACTCTGAAGCTGAGAGTGAGGGCCTAACTCTGTCCTCACACATGTGATGTGACCTGGAATAACTGCCCTTAGTTATAAATCTCACATGCAACAAATCAGAACTAGAAGCAAATTGTACAACACACTGTATGCTTGGTATAATAAAGGAATGATTAAAAATCAGCTGCAAAGCAGAGTCCAACTTATTTGACCTCATCTCCATGCTAGGCTGTAAAATACGCGGCCTGGAAAGCCTGGAAAGCAAGTGTCCTGCATACTTTTCATTTCACTCACAGGGTTGATTCATGCCAGTAAATGCTGAAACCCCACCTCATAATTGGGAGAAGTAATTTCCATTCCATGAGTTTTGCTTGAAGCTAATGTATGCTGTTACAAAACACCTAAAGTAAAACTTCAACCATTTCTCTTAGCCCAGCTGTGAAGTTCAAACTGCTTTTTAAAGTTAATTATTATGCTCTGACCTGCACATATGCACATGTTAAATACAAATAAATCAATATGGCAAGCTTATTCTTGTTTCAATTTGCTTTTTGTTTTTAAATTAGCATACTCTTGCTTTGCCTATCAGATATACGCGTGTGATGGTATCTCACATATTAAAGTTTTGCATTTGTCTCTTTGTAGTTCATTTGCTATTTTATAAACCCAAAGTCCTTGAGGGAGTGTCGGAAAGCCCCATAATTTTCCTTAGTGTTCCATTTTACCTTTTTATCTGTGATGTAGCTAGCATATGTGAAAAAGAAATGCAGATAGCCAGATGGCTCCCCAGTGTCCATACACACAAAAGCTCTGACAAACACAAGTGACTTTAGCTAATGCTGATTCATACTTGAGCTTATTCTTATTGTTGTCTTTTTTCTAATGCTATATTATTAGAAGCATGTGTGATCTTACCTAGAAAATTATTATTATTAATTTTAGAGAAAAATGTAGACTTTTTTTTTAATTAAAGCCAAAATATTTGGGGAGGAGAGAATCATTGTAACTCCTGGCATTGGTATTTCACGGTAACATTCTTCTTTTTCTTTGACTGGTATCGCCACCCATTTCACATGTCCTCAAAATCTCCTAAAAGAGATTTTGTATTTGCTTTGTGGTTTTCTGTGCATTTCTCTCTGAATCACTCTGCATAGATCACAGCAAGAGGGAGAACACTGAATTAGCTGATTCACTTCTGTTGCTTGGTGTGACGATCTCTAATTGCACTTAGTTGTGGGGATTTTCCAAAGCAGACAAGTGACTTTTCCTTTTGCCAGGGCACCGCTGTCAGACAGAGGCATTCGAACATCACCACATTTCAGGGATGAGCAGCATCATGTTCGCAGCCATGCCGCCTGCCCATGGACAGAACAAGCTAATTAATGGCTTAGTTTAACCGCTCTCTAGGACAGCAAATGTTCGCACATTTCTGCGTAGTTTATTTGTGTTAAGGAGGAGAACTGGAAGAGCATCAACTTTTTTAAGGATTCATGATCTGGAGAGCTCAGTTCATCTGAAGACTTCAGTCAATTAATCCTCAAGACATAATCTGAAGTGGGCAAGATTTTAAAAATTCTGGGTTCGTTTCTTTTCTGGAATCAGCTGCAAATTGGCTTTTCATTTCAGAGGAAGGAGCATCCCATACTTCTGTGTTCTCTGTGATAAGAAGCATCATATAACATTGGATTTTCTTGCTTGAATAAAGCACTAACTTTGCTAGGTCGGTACTGAAACCTGGGGAGAAACAGGCCATAAAGATATCCACTTGTGTAGACAAATTTGTTTAGTCAGGGTGCTGCATTCAGGTGCTCTCCGGCTATAATGCATCAGTATTATTGACTGCTTTGGTTAGTATGGCCAGAGTGTGTTAATAGTTGGAAACAAAACTGTAACTCAAGCTTGTGCTCTGATTCATTGTGGGTACTTGTTTACTTGTTAACATATTTCTGGCTGTCGGAGATGGCTCCAAGTGTATCACAAGATGTGCTCCCTTGAAGTAATGCTGTGACATTACCCTGCACTGCCTTGGATGGATCAGAGACCATCTCTCTCTGCGAAGGTGGAAATCTTGATTCAGAAGTAGTTTGCACCCAGCATGTCAGAGCAGCACATAATATGCTTGCAAGACAACTTTGGAAAACCTAACCCAGAACCCAAAAAAAGTTGTTTGGAAAATCCTTGTGGCTTTAATGGAGCTGCACTGCAGTTCACATTTTCAAGACACCTTGGGTAAAGTTTTCAATGCCATGAGAGCACAAATCTCACCAAATGGGTAATATTGCTCAATATATCTTGGGGAAAAAACGAGTTCGAGCAAATACAGCTCCCAGTCTCCTACACCGCAAAAAAGCTTCTGAAAGCTGGGGTAAAACTTCTGGAGCAACTCTGAAAACGAACTTTCAATCTAAGCACCGCTCGAATTCTCCTCGCTTACTCTTCTTTGCTCATTTTCTTTCCAAGTTTTAAATCGATTAAATAATTCTTGGGGGGAGGGAGAGAAAACCCCTTCCGAGGGGTCTGGCTGCCACCCGGCTCCCCGCTTCCCACACCCCAGTCTCATTCCCTCTTCACAGTGACACCTACCGGCATTCCTGGTCGCTCCCTGAAACCCTCCCAGCCCGGGGCCGTTCTGCCCCTGCCCCGCTCTGCCCCTGCCCCGCCGCCTCTCCCAGCGCTGCCCGGCGGCCCCGGCCCGGAGTCCGCTCCGGCCGCCCGGGCTTTGCTGCCGTCGGGGCGCGCTGGGAGCCCCGGCACGACCCGCCCGGCGGGGCACAAACTTTCCCGGCGAGTTTCCCTGCCCGCTCCAGCGCACAGGGCGCGGATGGGGCCGGAGGCTGCCCCCGCCGAGCCCTCGGCGGGCTGCGCCCCTACACAGCCCCCGACTGCCCCGTGCCCCCGCCGCCCTGCGCGCTGCCAGCGGCGCTGCCGCGGGCGGACGGGCCGGGCCGGGCGGCAGCCGCCGGCGCGCAGGGCGGGGTGTGGTCTCGCCATTATTTATGAGCTCCAGCCCCTATTTGCTCAGCTAATGATGCACCGGCGGCCGCCGAGCCTCGCCTCGCTAGAGCGGCGGCGGGCAGGGCAGGGCAGCGCCTGTAACTGGAAACCAGCGCAGGCTCCGTCACCGCGCGGCAGCTCCATTCACTCCTAAGGTGCGTAATTGCGGGCAGGGGAGAAGCGCGCCCGGTGCCTTAGGAGTCCAGCTGCCAGGATTACTGTACGGAGGATACGGGAGTACCCCTGCAACCGCCGCGAAGACAGACTTTTCTTTTTACCTTTTTTTTTTCTTTTTTTTTTAAATTTATTTTTCCCTCCACAATGAGCCAGGTTTGGAATTAAAATGTTCTGGTAGCGGGAATGGAGTCTATAAACTGATAGAAACCAGATAGAAATCGGTATTACTGGTGCCTCTAATAGCCGGGTAAGCATAACTTAAAGTTCTCTTTCTTTGCTGTAATAAGATGTGAAATGTCTCCGAGGGTTGATTTTCCCTGCTGTTCACAGATAGTTTAAGCAATGTTTTCCAGATTGGCATAGTCTGTGTTTGGTAGGGATTTTTTTTCCTCCTTTATTTCTTTTCTTTCCTCTGCTGAATGATTTTTCTTACAGGATTTAAGGGTAGGACCCAGCCTGTGGCACATGACACCTGCACAGCACTTCATAGCAAAGCGATACTGTACTTTCCAAAAGCAATACACATGGTGCAAGCGACCTCCGTGGCAGGGAAACTTCACCACTTCACTTTAGTAGCGGTTTGTCTGTTTGTTTACAGTTGGAATAGGGTGTAAGAGCAGAAATGTAATTAGACACTGCTTTTTGTCTGTCCTGTAAGATTCTTTAAAAGTACTTTCAAGGTTTTAGGTCTGTGAGTTGTCAGCAGAGATCATGTGCACGGGACATGCTGAATATAGCATCATGACTTACTGAGATAAATTCAGAACTGGGATATAAGCCCAAAGCAAGAGTCAAACCTGCAATTCAGTTACCAGCTCTGTAAATCTCTGAAATTAAACCTATTTCCATTAGGTAACTCACATGTCAGGCACCCTGAGGTGCCTTTTTGGCACTGTATGCATATATTATTTATGTGTCTAACAGCTGGGTAGGAACCATGCTGCTCAGCATTTGAATCGTATATGTGCCTGTCACTTCTGTGTTAACGGTGAAGATCTGCAATTTGAGCAATGAAATGTAGCAATGTTTCACTCCTGTAACTGATTGCACTAGAATTGGCAGGAGGCACGAGAGTGGGAGGGAAGGAGTGCTGAAAGAGGTTTCTTTCTATTATTATTTCCTACAATATTATTTAAAGGAAGGGGGAAATCTGCACACTTGTTCCTCTTTGACTTTTTATCTTTATTGCAAAGAAAGCATAGCGCTACTACTGTAAAATACTAATCCCATTGCATCTGTTAAATCATATGTTCTGTATGATTGGCTATTTGTTTTGGCCTGACAAAGAAATTTTTTTAGGATTTAATGCCACTTCTCTCTTAAAAGAGGGGTAAGTAAAAGGATATCCCATGGGCTAGTCACAAGCTTTTAAATTTAAAGCCCACAAAGCAGCATTAGTACTAGAGTTCATGCAGCCTGTTTAAAAATTATTCTTGGCAAAAACTCTGCAACTATCGTTTTATTAGTTAACAGACCTTTAGAGATAATTTGGAACTGGACCAGAATGGATATGTTTCTCCTACAGACCCGATCTGTAGCTGGCAAATTTATGACACGGGTGTTTTTGTCAATTAGCGGAGTTGTAGAATTACTTGATCTCTGTGCATTTCTCAGTATTCCAGAGCAAATCATGAAGGGGAGTCTACAGTGTGGGCTGCAGAGCTGTGCAGTCACTTGTATGCTCTCCATCCCGCCCACAACTTTATATGAAGTCCTCATGCAGAGAGAAGCCTTTCAAAGAGATTTACAGTGAGTGGATCGGGAATGACAGAGGCAGTAATGAGATATGGGGCTTTTACCGCTAAGTCAGTGGTGTGGATCTGACCCAAACCAGTGGTGACCTAAAGTCATCCCTGCCTGACAGCTCATTCCTGCCGTGCTGTGGTGCTTACAGCCGGTTCTTTAAGGACAGGTGTGAACCTCAGAGGGGCCGAATGAACAGGCATGTAGAAATACTGGCTTCCACTGGAGGGACTGTAGTGCTGGAGCAGAGCTGAGGTAAAATGCAACATGATTGCACAGGCAACAAATCTCTTAATGAAATAGATGTATAGCTTTTAGTGCTGTCTTCTAGCTGTAGGGGTTGTATCTTTCGAAGTGCTTCCAGTTGCCATAGAATCAAATATATCACCTGACTGATGAACTAATAAGTGGTGTCTAGTAGAAGGGCTGTTTACACCAAAAAGAAAATATATATATATATGTATATATATATATAAGCAGCAAAGTAGAATGGGCCTAAAATGAGGATGTTTTTTATTCTCACCTTTGGAGCTGAGCTGACAAAGTTGTTAGGATAGGTGAAATGAAATTTGCACTTCACAATTTTTGGAGAGATGCAGTTTAGGAGCAGATATGATATAGATATGTAATATTCAGTTTCTGATGTCTACTGGGTTTTATTGATCTGGTCCGAAGTCCATTAGAATTGTTAGGAAAGTGCCATGACTTTAGTGAGCTCAAGTCCTTCCTGAGCTAAGAAAAGATGCAGAGTTTTGGACCATTTTCTGATTCTCTGAGAAGCTCAGGCTTCTCAGCAGCTAAACCCTATAAAATGAATGTAGAATCAGCAGATGTGCAGGAGGAGTAGCAGAAGTATCAAGTGTAATGCACTGTCCAACTCTGGGATTCTTAGTGCTCTGTAGAAGTCTATGAGAGCAGGTCAGTATCCTGAAACGAACTAGCCCAAAAAGCAAATGTTGACTAACAGTTTCAAGCATGTTGAAATACTTTTGGTTTCAATGTTTTGAAAGTCATGATGAACATAGTCAGGACTTAAAAGAAGGACTAAAGGCTATTAGAGAGCTCAACTTACTAAAAACTTAAAGTTCATTTCCAAGCACCTTTGATTTCAAATGTTAAAAGAAAACAACCAACCAACCAATTTCCCAAACCTCCCCCTCTGAACATGAGGGAGACATGTCTAAAAATATCAGCCAGCTTTTTGTTCATGAAACTTTATCTCCTGTCCTTGCTTTGCTCTGCCTTGACATTTAGTATAATTATATTTCCAGCAGGTGGAATTGTCCTCATTTCAAATAAACTGAATCTGATGATGTAGTCTACCCTAGCTGAAACTTGGGCTCTCTTGGTTCTTATGAACAGGCAGAGAGCTCCTTCTGTGCCAGCATAGAAGACTGCTGAAGAAAACCATTTTCAGACATACAGAGAAAACAGAAGTGCTGTACCTCCTTTACATCAGTTTTTATGGCTTCAGCTGGAAGAGCTTTCTAACACAGATCTTTCTGTGCTGTTGTTTTTGCTCCACAAAATTGTATAAGAAGAGTAATGTAATATCTCTGTCTTTCAGGTTTTGTTTCTTGGATATTAAGTTGCAAAACTGAAGAGATGGCCTTTCTTGCAGTGCACGTGTTGATTGGGATATTTATTTACTTTAGCAGTGTAAAAGGATCTTCCCAGCCTCAAGCAAGGGTGTTCCTAACATTCAATGGTAAGAAAGAAGATAAACATTCTTAAGCAAATGTTATGATTGAACATTTTCTTCTTCCTCTTAAGTTCAATAACTGAGTATAAACTGACTTTTTGATCTGCATCCACAATTATTATTTTGGTTTGTGTTGGTAACGTACAAAGCTACCTATAGCTATACATGCTTAATTAATAAGACTTTGTTTTGTTTTGACTTATTATGACTTACTAACAACCAAAGGTTTTATTTCTTATCCTTAATTTTGCTTGGGAAAGATGGTAGCATATGGCATGTAGTGGAAGCTATGAATGATTTGAGTTGCTTTCATTCAGTGCCCAACTGAGACACTTTATACTCTGAAAATGAGGCTGCCTGAAGGTTTACCAAAACAGTTAACCAGGCACAGAGTCCTCTGAAAAAGCATCATTCCTTGTGCACTTTGTACAGTGTGTAGGATGTATGTAGCCTGTAGCAATCACTGATGCCTGCATATTGTAAACAAGCAATCAAAATTACTATTTTCAAAAGAAAGTTGCTTTTACTTCTGAAGTTCTGAGCAGTACCTTATTGCTACAATTACCCCAGTATTAGTTCTAATAGTAATTTATTCCTCTTAAATGCTGATTTTAGCCACCACTTCAGATTGTGTGTGTTCTTCAGCTTACAGTGTCTGATAAATTTGAGCTGAAATTTTCTGTCAGTAACTATTGAGGTGTTGACTTTCTTCAGCACTCTGCCTTTTTGGTGATTGTCTTTGAGCTATGGACGCTTGCTACTCCCTGCACCTGGTGCTGTCTGCAGTAGGATGGCTTGTGTGGTTCGTTAGTGTTGGGATGCCCTGCAACTGCCATGGGAATATTCTGTGTGCTCTGAACAGTCTTTAAGAATCACTTTAAAAATAATCATGGCTAGTAAGTATCTCAGACTACTGCTTGACACAATGATCATAACTATGTAATCATGAGACTGAGAGACACCCAGAAGGAGACCTGCCAAGTCAGACCTTCCACAAATACCACCCAGAGACTGATCAATACAAGATGTTGTATGTTATAGAGCATAGGGCCCTAAACTGATGAGTGCAATACTTACTAGGTGTAAAATGGCATGGTTACGGTAAAAGCAATAGTAGGAATTGATTCCAAGAGGGAACTACCAAATGAAGAAGTAGAGGTGTGAATTTCTTTTCCTTGCTTAAATAGCACTGACTGGTATAGGTGATAACTGTTCTGGACAACTCAGCACAGAAGCAGGTTTGGCTGTGGTTGTGTGTTGCACTGCAGGTTTGCCACAGTTATGCTGTCATCAGTTAGGCTGATTTGGATTTCCACATCATCTGCTTGATGCCCTTAAAAGTAATGTAGGCTTCCCCTGATCTCTGGTATGACCATGAAGTAGGAAGTGTTCAGGTTTTGTGTTACTCAGCCTTGTGAATGGGAAAGAATCGTGATGAGGGGCAAATGGTTTTAACGTGGACTCAAGAGATTTGTTTTTCATCACCGGTACCCTGCAAGTCTGAAACGCTGAAGCACCCGTAGGGCAAAAGACCCCAAATCTAGGGATTTTAAAAAAAATACTGAATGAAAACCTTAGTTCCTCTGTTCCTCTCTGAAAGGAGGTTGTCCCTCCTTCCTTTAAAAGGCGCTATGACAGCTTTATGTTGCAGTGGTGAGCTTTTGGGCGCCAAGAGCCCTGCCGCCCTGTGCTGGCCCTGGGGACGCAGCCTCACCTCACTGGTTCCTGCTGTAACCCTGCTTGGCTGCCTTGGTTAGACCTGTTTCTGAAATATCATGTACAGTAGTTGGCTGTCCTGTGTCCTTTCCTTGATTTTAAAGTGATGCTTTGCATGAATAAAAATGAGTCTCTAGCCTTGGTGAAAGTTAAGGTAAAGTAAGTGTCACCAGAGCCTTGCAATACTATCTGATGATCTCAAAACTGGCATTTTACTTTCCCTGATACTTAACAGTCAACCTTTAAAAAACCCCACAAACAACCTTAAAAAACCAAACCAACCAAACAAACAACAAACAAAAAAACTCCAACAAACAAAAGACTTTGAAGTCCTAAATTTTTAATGGGTCTTTTGAAGTAATAAAAGAAATTAACTATGTGTTTTATAATATGAGAACTATGTCTGAAATAAAAAATTTTTGTATAATATATCAACAGTAGTTTTATTTTTAAACTTGATTTCCAGATGGTAAGAAACAGCTTTCATTATGTCAGAAGAGTTTGCAGGTTGTTATGTATAACAAGGTAATGGCCCCACCTGTAATATGAACTTATGTTCTATAAATCTGTTTATTTACATGAATACTGGTAAAAGAGAAAAAGGTGAAACTTTATGTTAATCTCTAGCAAAGTGTGATAACACACTTTCTTCATAAGCTGCTTCATAGCTTATTGTTTTTAAATCATGTAGAAATATCAAGTTATTGGCCGTCTCCTTGCCCTGAGAAGCTGTCAGTTTTTATGGAGAATTGTCACTCTTTTAAAGTGCATCATTTGAAAATAAAACTATAATTAGGTCTCCTTATGTTTTAAATGACATTAGACAATAAAGACAAGTCATTCAAGTTTAGGATACTTACATGATATTTTTCAAGTTCTGAATTGGATTTGGCTTGGTGTCTACAATCACATTACATAAATTTTGGGGGTAGAATGCATACAGGAGGAGAAAATGAGTGATGCTTTTCAAAGCTAACCTGCTCCTTCAGGATCAAGTCAATTGAGCTTATTCACACTGCAGCATTTCTCATGGGAAAATCCAGCAAGTATCTTGACCTATTCTGTTTTTCATCAGGAAAGATAAAAATGCGAATCATTTGAATCATGGGCTGCTTTTCTCTTTGCCATCGACTTCATTAAGAATCAAATGTAATTAAAAAGTACGCCCGGGTAATACCTCAAGAGCCTGATAATGGGGATTTTGCAATTAACTTCAATGGATGAAGGACTGCAACCCTAACTTCTATTTTTGAAATCAAAAGCCTGGCCCCTTGTCTAATTAAAATGTAGTTCATGACTTAGCTGAGATTGTTAACTGTGCGTATGACGTGAGTGTGGAACTTACTGCTGTCTGCACCCTGAGTGCCTTGAAAATTGCAGTGCTGTACAGAACCCTGAGGCCTGATTGCTTTGCACCTTGTATAGCCATTTACTCAGCTGAAAGAAAAGGTCAGGCTGGAGCTGAAGTGCTTGCCATGCACAGGTATACATGGTTATAGACAGCACTGGGCCTACAGAGAGTCAGGCAAAGGGGCTCTCAGTTTGCCTGGAATAATTTGACATGACCCAGCTGTCCTGTTCAACGGCGATGGTTCAAACCATCAATATTTGTACAACATCTGCACTTGCAGAGCCACTGCAGTTGGAGAAGAAAGATGGCTCCAGCTTTTTCTGATTCTGAAATTGCAAAGGTGTGAAGCCTGTGGTGTAGCAGCTGCAGCAGGGTTGGGGAATCATCTGCTGTGTTGCCGTGGAGGATGCAGGTGTGAGGGAACCTGGGATGGGGGAAGTAAAGGACTCAGCATGTCACTCTACAGCACTGGTGTACTATTCCCCCTCCTCCCAGCTGTTCTGGCTCCTTGTCCTTGGAATAGATATTTCTTAATCTACATAAATCACTGATCATAATTAAAGCACCATAGTTTATTTTCTCTCCATAGCAAAAGACTTACCTTATCTGTTTATGAACTATCAAGTATGGTGCCTGCAGTTTCTCAAACTATGTGCATTCCTCTTTCTTACTGCATGTTCCCGAGCAGATAATTGGGAGCTGTATCGTTCAGTCTTTACAGGGGAAAAAGCTTTCTCAAATCAGTGGGAGTATTATCAGAATCAGGAAGGAGTTATTAGACCCCAGGTTAGTGTTTGAATTTGTTTCATACCATCTCAAATTTATTTTTGGATTTTATTGCAACCCTAAAATGTCAGGCTGTACCATTTTAACATAAAATTCTGAATTAATAAAAGCAGACCTAGTACTTATTTTTTTAAAATACACTCAAACAAACCTTCTTTGAGATTTAAATTTGAATGATGATGCACAACCAAATGATAATTTCACAATCTACTGGGAACATTTAATGCATTCCTACCTCAAATATCTGGTCTGGCAGATATTTCCCATGCAGACTCTTCCATTGTCTCCAGTGAAAATTCCATATGAGAAGTGGATCAAGGCTAATTTGCAGACGGTTTTGTTCCTCTCTTTGTCATAAAATTACTAGAACACGTAAAGACTTTTAAGAAAGTATCAGTCAGCTTCATTAATGACAATTAAAAAGCATAAAATGTCACCAGAGCAACAGCAGCACTTATTCAACTGTCAACATATTTTAAAAGATTTAATGCAACCCCTGTGGTTACCCTCAAGGAAAAATAAAGGAGCTGAGAACCATTTTCTTTGAGCTCTTGAGCAACAGCAGTACAACTTGTTTTTAAACAATCCCTCATTGTAATGTTAATGTTACCACAGTTAATAAAAAGTTCATTTATTATTTGGGGGACTTTGTGCTGATGACAGTCTAGTAGGCAAAGGTTTATGCTCAAATAGTTGATTGGATCTTTTTTGGTGTCCATAGAATGAAAGCTGCTTGCAAAATGAAGTAGAAGCAAAGCATTAAAAGCAAAAAAAATAGAGAAAGAGGAAGAAGAGATCCATGGGTTTATTTTTGTTTAAATGCAAAACTCATATTGAATGTTCATACAGTTGCCTAATTTTCAGCAAATTGGGTCATATTTTCTCAAATTTAACTGATTTCTGGCTTTCACAGCTTCGTGGGTTTAAATAATGCTAATTTATAAAGCATTGAACATCAACCATGTGTTAACATTTCCAATTTAATTGTCTCTCACTGGAGATCTAAAAACTTAATACTTTCAACTAAAAATAAAATTCTTTTTATCTTTAGTAGTGAAGATGGTATTTTTACACTTGGTCATAAAATCAGAGAATATTAAGGGGCTGCAATGGACCTTAAGGGTCATATAGTTGCAATTCCTCAGCCTTGCCA